TTTCTTTTTTCTGCACGATTGTTGTATCTCGTATGAGAATATATTTTTACATACTAATCATATACTTCAAAGCTTCCATTCGATGATTATAACATTTATGATTAATATCCAACCATCCAGCGTGACTTTTATTCGTAACATGCATACATTCAGCTATAATATTTTGAAGAAGGCGATTGGATGCTCAATGATGTGCCACATACGTGTAAATGTCATTAATTGTGTTTTTGTAAACACAATTATACATATTTGTAAACACAGCAGTTGGTCTTATTAACTTTTGTCACTGTTGGAGCATCTTCATTACCCTTATTTGAGTATTCTCGAAATTCTATATATTTTTCACTTGTTGTCGCATCATCCATGGGAGTTTTTATCATATCATTGCGGCAATCCTCACAATTAGTTTTTACAAAATTTCGTCGTGCCACAAATCCAGCGAAATATGCAATAGCATTTTCATTATAACCACACAATAGATTTATATTTTCTATAACTTCAAAATCTACATATTCCCCCACAAGTTTTACATCTTCCAAAAATAAATCGCTGTCAAAGTTATCATATTCTACAATGGAAGTACTCATGACTTTTTCTACTTCTTTAGTGAGACGACTTGGTTGAGTGATAAGAACTTCACTTTCTGGACATTGAACATTGTCTTTGTCACTCGTTTGGATATATCCTTGAAAATATATGTATCTAATGGATAATCATACCAGTCTTGCCGTTGGATTTGGTTTAAATCCTCCGCGTTATCTAAGTCTAGAAAATAAGTGCTCCACCAAATCTTGATTACACAATCCTGTTGCAAGTTCAAATCCTTCAAATCGATTTGCAAATTTCTCATAGGTTGCAAGAATCGCTCATACAGTTAAAACAAAGCCTCTAAAACAAGGAACTTGTATTATTTTGTTTGGTGATTTTGACCATTTCGAGCACTAATCAGTAAAATCTGTTAACAAAATATTTAAATCAGGATTCTTGGAAGACAATAGTCGTTTTCTGCCAAATCTAATTTTAATATTATAACTATTACGCTTATTACTATTAGCGTCGATAATATTATTCAAATGTTCTGCAAAATCGGCAGTTGCTTCCTATGTTTCAGTAATTTAATTCTTTTTCGTGGCCAGCTGTTTTTATCGCAGATGCGAAAATATAGTTAAATAACTGGAAAGCTCTTTTAACGTTCATCATTTCGAAATTATTCGGACGGAATGTGCGCTTCTGTAATGTGAGATAACAGATTTGGGTCTCTTTTTGTAGCATTGTCGATAGACCACGTCATTTCGAAATCTGAATATGATGCAACTATTTTTTCATCACAGTAAAGCTTTATATGTGTCCTCAAGAAACTTGCCAATCTTTTTATTAAATATGGAAAATCAAATGAAGCATTATGTTTTCTCATATTTGTGTGTAAAATATGGTTTTTCTGTATTAATGCCCAGTTGAGCATAGCTCAAGCTCTCTGATTATTTGTGCATGTACTTGATCGCATGTTAGAAGTTGCACATCAGCTCCTGTTTCATTTAATCTATCTAGGCATTCTTTCACTAATATTATTATATCGTCCGCTTTAATGCACTTTCCCGGTAAAAAATATGCTAGAGGTTGACGCCATGGATGATGCGCGTTTAAACTGTCTAAACAGAACACGAAGACACATTTAGATTTATCTAATGATCTTCCTAAATGTCTAAGATCAACAAGGCCTTCAATTAAATCTAATTTAGATGAATATTCCTCATAAGTTTTTATAGACATTTCGTCCCACTTCAAAGCACACACTCTTTCCTCTAACGGAATATTTTTTCGGAGAAATTTTTTCTTTAATTTTTCAAATATAAAATCGCAAAATCTTGGTTGTATATTAAATTTTTCTAGCCACCTCCTAATGATTCGTTGTCCAGGAAAATTATATCTCGCTTTTCTTAAGCGACAGAATGCAGAAGATGAATAGAAATATAATTGTTTTGAAAGATTTTTTCTCTTCTGTGTATGGTGCACGTCTTGTATGTAGTTACAAATTTATCATTGCTTTTGCAACAGGATATAGATTTTGTTCGTGTATCAATTTTTTTAGCATCTTTTTCAAAGAATTTGACTGTGATCTTTTTGACAGTCTACATTTTCTAGCGATACGTAAGCGATATTTTAAACATTTTACTTGATTTCGCAATCGATTTATCTCAAGTTTCAAAGATTCAATTATAATGTCAGAATTGTCTTTAACTTCCTTTGTCGTTTTCTTTTTATTTTCTTCTCTTTCGTTATTTGCATTATTATGCACAATAATTATCGAAACTTTTTCATGCATAGGTGACTCAAGATTCATCCATTTCATAATATCTTCTTCTTCGTCTGAATTATGAAAACGTAAATGTAATGGCTTATACATTTTTACTGGAGGCTCTTGTAATAATTGCTTTCCTATTATTATGTTTTTGGAAATAGGCGTAAATGATATTAAATTTTCCTCAGATTGGAATTGCCTCATATTTTCTGTTAGGCAAGATTCTGTGTCATTTGAAATTTTCTTTTTCTTTGAAGATTCTTTGGAATTGTTTTGAGAGACACTTAAATGATATGGAATGGCACTGCATCCCTTTTTAATCCTTTCTTTATACTTTTGAAATTAAATGAATTTAGAATAAAATGATCTTCGCATAATCCAGCACGTCGAATGGAACTGGGAGACTATCTTTCTAAATTAGTATTCCCTATAATAATAATGAAATAAAAATATTGACGATTATATATTTCTTAAAGCAGTATAAAATAATAATAAAATAAATAGAGAAATTAAAACCATGCAGACAAATCATATTAAATTTCATACGCAATAAAATATATATTTTTCGTGTAATCAAAAATTTTTGCAGGTAAAAGTAATAAAAGTTATAATAAGGATGATAAAACGAAAAATAAAACGAATTTTTTTTAATAATTTGAAGAAATGTCTAAGATACATTTATAAAATTGTCATAAAGCAATAATTGAAATACAACGGATGAATTAATAAAGTATATTTATTTAATTAATTAAAAGGATAATCAAACATGTATTTATAATTTTATTACATTTTTTATTTCTGTTCACCGAGTATTGATATTTTTTTGGAGACTGAAAGACAATACTCGGACACAAATTTTTGTAACGGCTACAATAATAATTGTAGACGCATAGACACTTTCTAGCTACAGCAAATGTGACAAGTTGGACTATTTCTTTGTGCGAACATATGCTTATCTCTCTTCGCACAGACCAGATGTATGGAGATTTTCATTTTGTTTGAAGTAACTTTTATTTTTCCGGGTCGGCTAAATTCTGTTGCTAGTTAAACTAGTTTCCCGGTTACGGGTCCGTCGACTATAATATATATATATATATATATATATATATATATATATATATATGTGTGTGTATATGTATAAATTTACCACTATTTTGTATCCATAAATATCTTGCATCTTGTTTGTAACGGAAATTTATATATAATTATTTATATATTATTTATATATTATTATTTATATATAATTTATAAATATACGTTTCCCATGAGACACTCATTCATTTATGCAATCTTTATATATGCACTTATCATAAAATTTATTTCTCATATTTGCCATTATTTATTATGTCTTGATTACTTTTTTCTATTCGCTTGACTCTTCATCTAACTGTTCACTCGACTATTCACTTAAATATTCATTCTCTTTTTTTCTGTTATAAACGTAAAACTTATTCACAGAATCACTTTTCTCTAATTCAAAATGATACGTATTTATTGTGCGAAAATATCGTTGGTTACAAATAGACGTTAAACAATAAAAAATTAACGAATAATGCTACGAATCTCGCAAGTTTCAATCAATGATACGTGCACAACCGTAACTGAACGTTGACTGCAACAGATTTCGCCGCACGAAAAAATGAAGCTCTTAAAAACAATATCGATACATCTTTGTGCGAAAAGAGATAAGCATATGTTCGCACAAAGAAATAGTTGCCAGCCTGTCACATTTACTGCGACGTTTACGTTTTATTACAATTTACTGCGCATAGCGCAGAGTGCTTTTTAGTATTTAACTGCGCAAAGCGCAGAATACGTTTTATTACAATTTACTACGCAGAGCGCAGAATGCTTTTTAATATTTAACTGCGCAGAATACGTTTTATTACAATTTACTGCGCAGAGCGCAGAATGCTTTTTAGTATTTAACTGCGCAAAGCGCAAAATAGGTTTTATTACAATTTATCGAGCATAGCGCACGATGTTTTTTAGCATTTCAATGCATTAGGTACAGAATACGTTTTATAAAATGTACTGCATGCAATTCAGAATATCTCTTCATGAATATGTTTCAATATGTAGAAAGAAATTGTGAGAATTAATAATAAAGAAATTGAAAAAGAAGCCGATCTATGAGATTGCAAAATTAATTGAAATATCGAGAAATGTGAAATAGAAAATTATACTTGAATGATATCGGCAATGATACGCTGGACATTGCCCTTACCGATATCAGCAAGGGGAAGAAAACCCTAGCGTTTTTCTCGTTACGATCAGGAAGCAAGAATTACCGAAGCATTTGTAAAGTATGTTTCTGAAATATTCTTTTTGATTTTATAGTAAAAAATAAGGACGTTGCAAATTAATTAATTGAAATTTTTACCTGATACTTCGATTTTTATAATATTTGTATTGAGATATTCTTTAAGATATATATGTTACAAAT